AGTCTACAGCCTTTCTTCTGCTAATTCAATTGTTCTGAAAAGCATTATGCAGGAACAACTTGACTCAAAACCAATGTGGTGTTTCCTCAGATTTCCCAGAACCCAGGAAAAATCCAGACCTTTAAACTTTGGGAAACTGCTCTGGCCTTTTCTTTCTCTTCCTCCCCACCCAAGCAAGCTTATTCAGGAAAAAAGGGGTGAGATAAAAAGAGAAGAACACATATAGGCTTCAACCTTGATATAAGCATATAGCCAAGTCTGCTCAATAATACCCTTTACTGCTAGAATACATTGTGCATAAGATATATAGATCTCTACCCATCATGTCCCTTTTCAAATTTATAATGAAGCTTGTATGACCTGGCCTGTTTCAAGTCAACTTTTCACACATCTTCTCCCATCCCCAATTTCCCAGGGTATTTTTACTTGAGGGTCGTGGTGGTGCAGCGGGTTAAACTGCTAAGTTGCAGAACTTGCTGACCAGAAGGTCGACGTTTCAAATCCGAGGGACAGAGTGAGCTTCCGCTGTTAGGACTAGCTTCTGCCAACCTAGTAGTTCGAAAACATGCAAATGTGAAATCAATAGGTACCACTTTGGCAGGGAGGTAACGGCGCTCTATACAGTCATGCCAGTCACATGACCTTGGAGGCATCTATGGACAATGCTGGCTATTCGGCTTAGAAATGGAGATGAGCGCCACCCCCAGAGTCGGACTCGACAAGACTTAATATCGAGAGGAAACCTTTACCCTTTTTGCTTGAGCAAGGGATGGGAGAATTTCTGAGCAGGCTGGTGAGTGATAAATATACATCATACTTAACAACAGTTTTATAAGGGACATGAAAGTTGTTTCTAAATTATTTTTAAAAGAACCAGTCTTTGAAATGCAGCTTTGCTCCCCAATCCTTTATAAATGAAAGGGCACAGACATTTAGTACTGGAGAAATGTTTTATCTTGGAAGAATGTTGTTGTATAATTTCTTTCTACAGCCCTTTGAGAAACTGCAGCCCCTTGAAAAGTGCTACGTGCATGACAGTACAAACTATGTTTAGAAAACCTAATTATAGAAAGTTCCACAGAAGATACCCAAATGAGTAATGTGTTAACTTTGCACCAAATCAAGTGTTTGAGTTACCAGATCAACTTTTAAAGCTACATCGTAGAGAAAGGTGGCCTATATAATGTTAGTCCAAGAACAGCAGGGGAAACTCTTTGAAAACACCTTTGCTTTTAGAGATCTTCCTGATGATAAAAAGCCATTCTCCTGCATGCTCATGTACATCATTGGAAACTGTGATCAGCCCCAGTCTTTCTATGTTTTGGAAAAGTATAAGGATATGTAGAGCTGTAGCTATGATTGAGGGGTGGGTAGAAGGGTGACTTTTTTCCCTCTCCAAATAAGAATCCTGCCACCTTGTGAAATTTTCCTTCAGTCTCCAAATTTCTACCACCATTGCAGAGATGGAGACATTGAAAATCTTCAATAGGTAGAACTCTCATAATCATAAGTGTTTGGCTTCACTTGACAATTTGGCTTATTCCTTTTCTTTGGAGTTCAAAGCTGTATTTCTATATACTAACCCGAATATAAGTTACTCGAGAAATTTGGGAACTGGAAGAAAATTTCATTTGTGAAGGTAGAATACTTATTTGGAGGGAGAACATCCTGATATCCTTCCGCAAAGGTTATGGCTCTGAGGATTTGTGCTTTTAAATGTGTGTGTGTGTATAGTGTTATTGTTTTGATTGAAGGGCCAATGTGGGGAAGTGGTTTAGTGTTGGACTAGTTTGTTAGTGTTAGTGTTTGTTAGTGTTGGACTAGTGTTGGACTAATTTGAACCCCCACCCAGCTAGATAAAGCCACTGTGAGACCTTGGACAAACAATACTTTCTCAGATCAGAGTTGAGGTAAAAACAAACCCACTCAGAACAAATCATGCCAAGAAAAAAAATCTTGTGATAGGTTCACCTTAGAGTCACTCTAAGTTGGAAATGGCTGTGGTTTTATTACTTTTTTTTAACTTATATTTCTGCCCTCCTTAATGACACTGTGTACTCACCTGGGGTTGAAGTCATTTGGTTGTCAATGTCTGGGCAGATGAAGCACCCTCCCTTGGTCTTAAAACTGAACACCTCCCCACCCCAACTCCCTATTTCATATTTGATGGGGGGAGAGCCAGATGTAAAGGAAGTTGAGTCACTTTCATGCCCTGGAGCAATACAATGATTTTCGAGTTGATTGTAGACCACTAAAGGGAACCTCAGCACAAAACAAAACAAAACAAAATCCCAGTAGTAGTCAATTTTAATCAAATGTTTGAAAGTTGGTTTGCTAGAGCTATAAAATCAGTGGAACTGAATGAACCTGGAAGAAAAAGGAAATGTGAAACAAATAATTTATTAGAGCAACATACAAATCATCTCAAGCTTTCCCCTGAAAACATTTAATTACAAAACCACAGTGATTACTGCATGACTGCTATACTGAAGAAAGGAGCACTCCAAGGATACAGAAAAATAAATTGCTGACAGCAAATTACCAGTTCTGCAATATATTCAGTTGACTCATGAAGACTGTGTATTTCCCCTTGGGTTTTCTATTTGTTCTAACAATTATGTGGCAAGAACAAATAGGTTGGATGTATCTGCATCTTAGAATGCACACGCACTCCATTAGGGGAGAAACAACAGAACAGAATCTACATCATTTACTTAAAATGGAGAATTAACAGTGGGCAAGACCCAAAGATTGGAATACTGAAAGATTCATCCATTAGGGAGATACAAAGGGAAGAATTGTAAGGTACAAATATGATTTGTTAAGTCTACACAAATAGCTAGGCACAGAGAAATGAACTGAAATAAAAAGGGTTACTATGGACAAACTTTTAGGTCAGTTGTCGTTAACTTTTTTTGTTCCACAGTTCCCTTTGCAGCTATGTCAAAACCATGGATCCCTTTTCAGAATGTAGCGGTGGACATTTGCATGTATTTTAATTAAATTTTAGATCATCAGTTAGTGTGGCATGCCTGGTACAGGTTTGCTGAAACCAGACAAGTGTATCTAAAGGTCTCATGCAATCACAAATGAAGACAGCCATGCACACCAGACCTGTTAACACATATATTTTATATTTCTACCCAGGAAAAGTGGATACTTCAGGCTTTCTGTAATATTTCAAGTTGGAGTAAAGCCAAACTCATTTAAAACATGTTTTTGTGTAAAATTTCAACAATTAAAACTTATTATTACACTGGCCACACACACAAATACCTATATTGCAGATATCGATACCCCCACTTTATCTTCATTTTGTTATATTAATATGATGAAGGAGAAAGTAGGCATATGTGTTAAAATGACTTAGAAAAGGGAGAGGAATGGAGTCAATCTAAATTTCCATTCTGTGTTGGAAAGTTGCTTGCTATCCAGTGTTGGAAGATGCTTTTCCTCAGTAAGCAGCCAACTAAAGGTTTAAGAAAAGAAACAGGAAGAGCTTCTCTTCTATTCTAAGACTGGCAACTGTTCAATTAGGTAATTTAAGTCTCTGGAATAATGTAATGTTTGCTCCAATTTGGATGGTAATGTGGTCACATTGCAAAATTTGCTAGGTATACTTACTGCATTTGCAGATCTTCTTTCTTATCAGTCACACTTCTTGATGAACCAAATTCAACAACAAAAATTGCAGGACATACAACACATAGGACAAACAGCTCATCTAAGTACCTGGGTCTTCCTTGGGGATCCTACTGAATTTGTGGAGACAATTTGGTGCACTGAAATGTTTATCAAATCACAGATGAGTGGATGCAAGTTGTAATTTTATACACAACAGCATCTTTTGCAAAGATTATGCATTTAAGCCTGTCACAACTAGATTCTTTCAAAAAGTTCCATTTATTTGCGTGGGATAGTTAAGCACCTTATTAATACAACTGCAGCGATCATGAATTAATACTGCAAACATTTAACTCGATCAGGTTAAATGTTTGCAGGTTAGTCTTTTCCATTGATTCCAGTGGGTTTGGAAAAAGGATCGTATACCATGCTAATATTCTGAACAATCTGTTCAGAAAATGAGTAAGACTGATTTTCTTACTTGTTCTTAAAGTGATAGTGAAAGGGTCAGAATACTTCTTTGATCAGGAGAAACAAAATGGTTGATGGCTAGCAAAATTTGAAAGACAGTTGCTATCATATCCACTGAAACCTAAAGTATGGCAGAAGTTAGCTAAAGTACCTTCATGTGGTTCCCAAAGTGAGATCAACAGACAAGACAGATATTCTTCAATGGCTGTTAAATTGACTGCCTGCCATTTTAATCTCTTTCACTGAAGTGTAGACATGGAGTGCGTAAATTTCGCATCCGTGGGATTTGTTGGACGTATAGCAGAGTGACTGTAAAAAACTGCTGACAAGGGTTGGTGATCACTGTCTTTCCTTGGTTTGACTGTAACCTCGGAGAAGAACTTGCTGAATTCCTTAGAGACACATATATAGTCCAGGGTGCTACTGGCTCTCGCTGAATGATAGGTAAAAGGATAACAGTATTTCTTACTTTTCCCACTTAGTATGTAAAGATTGAATTTTCCCACTTAGTATGTAAAAATTGAATTTGTCTAGAACAAATTCAATCTCTGCCTTATTTCTAACTGTGTCTCTAGAGTTCCATTCAGCATGGAAGGGCAGATCGTCCTTGGGAATGCCACATAGCTCTGACAGTTTATTTGCTGAGCTTCCCAGTCTCGCATTGAAATCTCCTAGTAAAATTATTAATGCTGTTGGATGTTCAAAATAACTTCTACAGCTCTTTCAAGAGATGCCTATGTAGAATATTGAGAAAATCTGCATAGGAGGCATGTATACGTTTATAATGACCACGATAGGAGGGATGGTTTTGCTCTTTTGGGATGGGCTCATAGTTCAAATTTTACTGCAAGAATATTTGGTTGCTCCGGGAAATCTTTAAAAATAATTCAACAAACAACAAAATATATGACAATAAAATAAATCATTTTATTACTGAGGATTGGGTGTTATCAAAAGTGTTACCAAAGCTGGCTTATATTTGTGTATCAATTTTGGTGCTCAAATATTGTATTTTTAAAAGTAAAGTGGTTCAGACAACCATCTCAAATCATAATAAAATACAACAGAAACAGCGAAGATCTTTTTCAAATTTCATTTGATGTTCCCTGATAAATTATAGATTGCATTGCAATGGCTAAAGTTAATGGTATCCAACTAGACTGATAGCTAACTGATAGCACTGGTGAAATTAGGTTTCAAAATAATGTATACTAGAATGCTCTGCTAAAGAAGAGACAGGAAGTACTCACTCTCGTGATGGATTATTTCCCGTCATACACTTTTCTAGAAGTAAGCCTTTAAGTGCATCTTGAGGGTTAACAGGGGGCAGAAAGCACATGGAAACCTATATTTAACAAACTATATAGTAGCCTGCCCAACCTTCTCCTTTCTTTTAGGGAAACTGATTCTCAAAGTAGCAGGGTAAAGATGTCAAAGTCTTCAGGGTAGGAACAAATGCAATTTTCCATCCAAAGTGGCTGTGGTGAGCTGTAATATGAAGCAAAGAGAATGTGTCTGTAATATAATGAATTGTACATGGCAGAAGTCTTGCTGTTTTATAAACAAATTAATGAATATAAAGGTGAACTGAATGTACTGATAATGTATTACAGTATTTTTTTCTTTTCATTCACATTTTCTTTCAGTGTGAACCTCAGTTCTTATAACTAAGGTTAACATATACAGTGATTTACAAATAATAATTAATCAGTTCAACAATACTTTGGAGAGAGATAAAAACAGATCACAAATCTGGTAATATCTCAAGAAGAAAAAGTACTATGAAGTTAAATACAAAACCTGGTACCTATCAAGAGTAATGGCAAAAAGATTTGGAAATAGGTATCCCAGATCAAACATTGGCTTTATTTTGTAAAACTGTATCTAAAATGACACTTTGTATAAACATTAAGAATTTAAAAAATAAGTTTGTGTTTGGTGTACAGTGCTACCCAGGATATATTAGAAATCAGTTATGTACATTTTATTGATTAGCCCATTGGCCATATCAAAACATTTGACAAACATGTTTGACACATATACATGCAGCCTACAACCCACATAACAACAGAAGTTAAAATAAATTAGCTATTAACAAGGGAGAAATCAGACTTTGGTCAAGCCTGTAACTGGAGAGGGAGGGTTAAGGGTTCAAACCGCCTACCCATTTTTCAGACTGGAACTGTTTAAGAAAAATATAAAAGACTGTTTTCCTGAATCAAGAAGAAACAGCCTGTTGCCACTTTGTGAAACCTGTTGAGTTGACTGACATGATGCAGTTTAACATTTTGTTGAACTATACAGTGTGGTGGTGGGAACATTTGAAGAACTAAAAGAGAGTCCTCTATACAACAGACTTCTTCCCAAGCTGGACACCTTCTTTTAGCTATTCTGAATGTTGAATTTGTAGTAACCATACACATCCTAAGAAAGCTTCTGTCGTCGTCCCTTCAACTTAGCAAACATTACAAATAGTAGATATGGACATTTTTGGTAGTCTGCAACATGTCGATAGTCTCAGAAAAAGCCAGGGTGATGCAGACAGGATCTGTGAAAGAATTTCAGCAGATCTTTGACACAACAAGATCAGTAGTGGAGTCTATGGGTGGAGAAGTTAGGATTCCTTGCATCTGTTCAAGGCAGACTCAAAAGCCAACATGCAGGCAACTTCACCAACACCAATGGAATGTTATAGGATAAATGTGTACATCCCATTTCTGGACTTTTTCTGAAGTCAGTTTCAAATAAAGGTTTACAAGGCACAGGGAAATAGTTCAGGAATTGCAAGTGTTCCTCCCTATTTATTGTGGCCATTTAAAATCCAGCTTGAACAATTGCACAGAACTTTACAATGAATGCCTTCATGATACTGACACACTGATGGAAGAATTTGACCTGTGGTGTAGATTGCACCTGCAGAAAAAAAAAACATAAAATGTATTGGAAGCATATCTTGTTTGTGATAGTTTATTTTCGGAATACGAAGAAACTTCTTCAGATTTCTGCAACATTGCCAGTGTCAACAAATATGCGGGGCTGCTGATAAGTCTTTGGCTTTACCCAGAAAGAAATAAGATATGAAGATGAAACTTTACATTTATTCCACATACTCTCCACTGATATCAACACACTTCTTACATCGGTATTCCAAGTTCTGTAAGCCTTGCAAAAAGACACAGCAGACATGGCATCAGAAATGGTGTGAAATTTGGTACCCTTGAGGTGTTTCTTCAGGTTTGGAAACAGATTATCATCGGAGGGAGCTAGATCCAATGAATAAGGTAGGTGGTCAACCAGCTGGAAGCCTAACTCCACCAGTTTTGCCATGGTCGCTTGTGCAGTGTGAGCAGAGGAATCGTCTTGCAGGAACAAGATTCCTTTGGACAGCTTTCCGCACCTTTTGGCCTTCAGAACTGCCTTCAATTGGTCCAAAAGTTCAGTGTAATACCTTGCATTGATGGTGGAACCATTTTGAAGGTCGTCCATTAGTACCACGCCCTCCTTATCCCAGAACACAGACTCCATCACCTTAGTGGCTGATTTTTGCACCTTGAACTTCTTTGGATGAGGAGAACTACTGTGAATCCACTCTTTTGACTGCTCCTTGGTTTTAGGGTCATACAAATAAATCCAGGTCTCATCCTTAGTGACAAATCAATCCAGGAAGTTCTTATCAGTCTGGAAACTCTGACAAATGGACCAGGAAGTTTTCACTCGCATGCTTTTCTGATCTGTTGTCAAACATTTGGGGACCCACTTTGCAGAGAGCTTCTTCATGTTTGTTTATTTATTTATTTAGTACATTTATATACCGCCCCTCTCAGCCTTCCGGCAACTCAAGGCAGTTTACAAGGCAAGAATTCAATGCCACCAAGGACACAATTACAATATACAATATAAAAAACATCAGCAACAATAAAATCAAACATTATAATGAAACGTACTTCAATCAATAATCATTAAAACAATGTCCAGTTCTGCCATATAGTTATTCCATTATTATATCCGTTACTCCGTATTTTCAAATGCCCGCTCAAATAGCCATGTCTTAAGATTCTTCTGGAATGATAGGAGCGAGGAAGCCGATCTAATCTCCCTAGGAAGGGCGTTCCATAGCTGAGGGGCCACCACTGAGAAGGCCCTGTGTCTCATTCCCGCCAACCATACTTGTGATGATGGCGGGACTGAGAGCAGGGCCTCTCCAGATGATCTTAAAGTCCTTGCTTGTTCATAAGGGGAGATTCATTCAGACAGGTAAGTTGGGCCAGAACCATTTCAAATGTTCATGGATAATGACACAAACACATTCACACAAAATCCCCATGATGTCTACTATTCCTTAGCTGAAATTCACTGATTTTCCAGTATGATGTTGTGCACAGCATCAACGATCTCCGGAACAACCACCACTCTTGGTCGTCTAGGACGTTCCTCATCATTGCTGCTGAAGTGGCCTGTTTTAAATTTGGCAACCTAGTTCTTAACTGTAGAATATGAAGGGCATTGATCTCCCAATGTCTGCAACATATCACCATGAATATCCTTCGTGGACTTCCCTTGCAGAAACAAGAATTTGATCACTCCTCTGCACTTATTTGCTGTGAATATCACCTTAGACTCCGCCATTTTGTTTTCCCGCGTGCCTAGATCACTGTTGCCATAAGCTACAAACACAAAATGTTGGCAACATATATTAGACACATAACGATTTCATGTGATGTAACATTCGTTACCATAGAAACAAAACAAGAACACAAAGCCAGAGACGTATCAGCAGCCCCTGGTACAAATGAAACGTCATTTTCAACTCTTAAATGTTTGCAAACATATATAAAAAGTGCAATGGAGCAAGAAAGACTCATGATTAGCTTTAAAAAGTTTAAACCCCCTCCCCCCATTTTTTCCGGTGATGGGCCTGACTTTGATAAAATAAACAATATGCTATTAATTGCTAATTGAACCAGTATAAGATTTACTATGCAATTTAACAAGAGTTTATACCAGTGGGCTTAGAAACATTAATAATAAAGTAGACCATTTATTATTGACATTTCTGTGCAGAATTCTTTTCTGTGCCATTTTTGCTGTTTTCTACATGTTTTCTATTTTTTCTGTTTTTCTGTTTTCGATGCAAAAACATCATATGTGAAAATGAACTCTCTAGGACAGAATAATTACAAAAAGTTAAGAAGCATTAAAATTACTAATCTGATTCAAAATTTTAAAAAGGGAAAAAGACTGGCAGATTTTTAAAATTCAAATACTGAGTAAATCCAAAAGTACAGGGTACATATTATTAAATGTTTTATAAGAAAGCATAACATTATTCATATTCCCGTATCCCTTCTCATTCTCTTTTAGTGTAACTGCACCAGACCTTTCTTGACAGTGAGGAAGAGAAAACTGGACATTTCTTTTATGGAAGTCACAGTCCCTCCACCAAATACATTTTAGAAAAGAACAAAATTAATAACTATCTTCCCAGTGAAGGTAGTTGATATATGTTTACATGAATGAGAGAAGCTATTCTGAATCCAATACATTTTTTCACTCTAGACTTTGGCACTCATCACATGTAAATTTGAAAATTAGTTCAAGGATATCATTAATGAATTCACATTATAGACCAGACATTTTTGTAAAAGTGGTGGGGGAAAGTTAATGTCTTTATACTTGTATCTATTCCAGAGTAAAAAAACTAACAATTGGAAGCTCTAGCTAGCTACATATTGCTAAAAAGAAATTTCTACATGTATTTTTCATTGTCTCACAGGGCTAATAAAAAGCAGAACACAGGAAACAATGGAAACAAATACCACAAATAAAATAGCAAAATGAAGAGGCACAATAGTAAATCAGTGGTGGAAATTATATGACCCAAGGACACTACGTGCCTGCAAGGCTGTTTCTACAGCAACTAGCAATTCTTCTTTAAAGCAAGCCACAACTCTCTCATGCCTACTTCTATTCAAACATCCCCCCTTCCCCCAAATTGTTTCACAAACCAAAAATTCCAGATAGATAGATGTGGGTGGCCGAGATGGCCTTGGCAGGCCCTAGAAGGACCAAATTGACCACAACTTGTTCATCCTTATGGTAAATTAGCATGGAGGGCACTAGTGTCATACTAAGATAGCATGGGATGTTCACTGAACAGAATATGGGTCTTAGTGTTTCTACAGATGGTTGTCAATGAAATCAGAATCTCTTAGCCATTTGCTTTAGGCACAGTGAAGAATTTTTACTCTGAGTATCTTTTATGTAAATCCAAAATACTGAGCAGGAAAAATGTATTGGGTGTTGCAGAGAATACTCAGGTTATTATCTTGCCATAGCAAGACGACCAGAATTGAGCAAAATTTCCGCAATTGTATGAGTTTATCTATATCCACCTGCTATTAGTCTTGGACTGATACTTGCAAGCAGGGGCGGTTCAACCCATTACGCAAAGTAAGCATTTGCAGTATAGTTTATTTTGCCCACAGGCA